TTTTCGGTGAATTATATCAAAGCTCTCGGCTCGTGAAAAATAATAGAGACCGTTCGCGCAGTCGTATTTTATTAAAAAAACAAATAGGGGTGAACCGCGATGGACACAACCAATCAACCAAAACTCATTTCGATTCCTCCGTAAAAAAATTTTAAAAGAAAAAGAAAGCTACTTAGATTTTTAGGGACTTACAAATAACGAGCAGACTTAACACTCCACCCTCTCTCTGTGAACTACATTAGGTACGTCGGTAGGGGTATGGGTAACACGAGCGTCTGATATTTTTAACGCGTTTCATTTCATTTTTGCATGATCAAAATAACGAGGTTTATACTTCGAATAGCCCTTATTCATGGCTTTGTAGCACAATTTGCTACCAATGGGAGTCATTTTCGCCCATTAGATACTAAGAAAACGATTATTTTAATAGGCAGAGCTCCATCCAGCTGTGTTGAGAACGCATGCAACAACGCAATATTTTGCAATAATTACTGGCTTTATTATTGTGCAAAGAGTGTTTTAACTGTAAGATAATTTTCTCATTAATTGAAACAAAGATCTGAGCATGAAGTGACACTGGATCATGATGAAGCATTTAAACATCGGCAACAAGCAAACAGTTGAAAAAAGATCAGAGATATAGCAATTTGGCCGCTAAGTGTGTATGTGTATTATAAAACACGGACGTCTATAATTTTCAACACATTCCTTTGTTTATCAAGACAATGTCGCACGAAATTAATAGAGCTTCTCGACTTCTTTATTAGGGTACTTTTTGTAACACAAAATTGCCTCCAGAGGAAGTTATGCTGGGCCTGTTTCTTCCTAAACACGAGCTGTACGATCGGGAGCGCCACATAAAATTTGGCGGGCATTTAGGAGGTTTTGGCGCGGATATGCTCGAAGCAGAAATAAATAAATTAAAGGAGAAAGCTTACCTTCAAGGAGTCTTACGATTAATCAGGTCATTATACAAACCAGAATTAATGTGTCGCAAGGTAAACCTACTGATCTAAGGCTGAATTGGCCTCGCATTTGAACCAATGTGAAGAAGGAAGGCTGGCCATCTCCGGTTTCCGGAAGAGAAGCTTGAATTCTCCTAACCTGTCCGATCTGTTTAAATGTTCTTCCAAATACCAATCGCTTCCAGGGGAAACGATTTTGATCGCGAACCAACACAGAAATTCTCGACCAGGAAACGACAAAAAGTAACTCACATATACTCCATACAATGATGGCTTGGTCGGGCTTATCCGATCCGGAGAATAGTTGAAAAGACCGCGCTCGACTTTATTTACATGTTTTTACCCCGCCTAGTATTGTTTTAACCATATTAACAGACAGTTGCGAAATTTAGAATTGTTTCATCGCCTCTGAAGATCACTACCGATGACAGCTAATCTGACCCCTGCTAACCTGCACGAGATCCGAGGTAAAATTATAACAGGAAATTGAGCATAGCAACCGTCACTCAAGATATGGACACTGTAGCGTATTCTTCTCTTATTCTTCATTATTTTTTTACTTGTATTATTCGTTTTAATTAACCTTTTATTTCTTCTATTCTTTATTATTATTATTATTATTATTATTATTATTATTATTATTATTATTATTTATTTTTTAATTTCATTAAAAATTTTAACAACAAGATGACTTTATTATTATTTAGCTTATAGAGTTTTATTTGTTATTTTATTCTATGCCGTGCAAATGTGTTAGAAGTGCCTGGAGCAAGTTGCGCAAATAAATGACTACCCTATTACTCGTTTGTTCGTTTGTTAGTTTCTTTCTTCTTATTTTTCTTTTTAACGTATAAACGAGAGGAAAAAAAACCTTCAGTTAAATGAGTATAACTTTGCTGATCAGAATACACATCAAAATGAAACTGAAATTTCTTTAAGAGACAGCCGATAGCTATAAACATGTCGGCCGAGGATGACATCCCATACACAATGAATGACTTTGAATGACTTCTGGAAGAGCGTAATCACGTCCCATTTTGGCCTTGCTTTAAAATATTAAATTGTTTCTTTGTTTTTGAGATATTTTAATCATGCTGCGTCCCTTACTTAATAACAAGTTGGCTTGAACACCTTGTACCACTTCCGCAGTAAAGCTCAAAGAAGTAAGTGTACATTTTAGATGCCCGTTTGTCGTAAGTTTAAGTACATGACTTAAACTCTTTTCTTCTCTCTTTTGATGAGGACTCATTTCGTTTCTGTTTTCAGTAACAAGCACTGTTGGCTGTCTGAATTTCTGGAGCATCATTGGTATGTACAGTTAAGTTAGCGTGGTAATCGTGTCTTAATTCTTTCACACAACTTAAGTCCCAACGCAGTTCGATCTGTTATTCAAAAGTTGAGCTTAAACACATAGAAATACTATTTAGCACATGGCCAAAAGACTTTTGGAGCGTCAACAAGAAAAACGTAGGAAAAATTAGTGTTTTACTGTTTAATTATCCCGATCGCGTTTCTGATAACAGAAGTTAATACCCTGGAATGAGTTCTATCTTTGAAATTAATTACCAACTAAACAGGTCGTTTGTTCAGGAATTCGTGCACTGATCGTGTTATTTGCAAAAGAAAGTCGGCAATTGACGTTTAATTAGATTTTTTATTTTTCTAAGCAAAACAAAACCTTACTGCTGCAAATTTTGGTTTCGTGAAGCTCTTTTAAAAATTAAAAAGGAATTGCATTCAGCCAAGTGGATCCAGTCGAATAAGCACTCAGTTTAGTCTTACTGCACTTCATTTTGCAGATTGTTGAAAAAAAAAACCGCTCAAGCTTGTATATTTTGGGGGGATCTTTCCTTGTTGAGATCAATCTTTTTCGTTTAAGGTTTGTCTGATTGATTTGTAGCATTCAATTAACGTATTATTGAGCGCAGGTACTTTAGTTAGCTTATTAGGCCCGGGTCAAACGCCGTACTTCACATGAGCCGAACCAAATGACAGTTTGGTGTCGACTTAAATAATTGAGAACGCCTGTTTGAGTCAAACTTCGAACTTAATTCAGTCGAACCTGAACTGCTACACGAAACAAATTCTTTGTTTTCACGTGACGTCATCAATATTCTATTCGAAACTTTAGTCGCAAATGAGAAGCCTCTAAATTTCAAATAATTTAAATAAATTTCAGCGCAGTCCTTTTGTTTTCCGAGTTTTTATATTAAGTCTGGTCCAGTTGGTTAAAGGAGCTACGTCACGATATTTTGAGTCATTTCTTTGACGGCCTAAATTACGGTAAAAGTGTTGCGAAACCTAAAATTAATGGTTTGCTATGGAAGAAAAACACCAAAGGGGCGATTCTAGAGGAGGAATAGGCGAAGATTGAAACGGATTGGAAATAATGATTTTAAAAAGTTTAGCCAATTTTTTTCAAAATGCACGACCGTTGACGTAGTTCCTTTAACTTTTCTTTCTCATCGTGACTTTCTATTTAGTCTCAAATGTTTAAACCCAGAACGAAAATGCGTTAGTTTTCATGCACGCATTCGCCCCAGAAATTGACATGACTTCACGCATCATGCACCGAATGCCGTGTGAAAAGTATACTTAAACTTATAAACAGTTATTGGATGAGGCTGAGTATAATATGAAGAATTATGCAGACCGAGGAGGGTGTTATCTCCGGCATCGGTGGATCACACCCTCCGAGGTCTGCATAATTCTTCATATCATACGAAGGCGAATTCAATAATGGTTTTATTAGTCAATCAAAATATTTAAAGAATTTTGAAATAATTAAAAAGTAGGCTCTATTAAGTTCAGTAACAACATGCCAAGTTCACAAGCTCGCAACATGTGAAACTAAAAAAAAATCCAAGTTTTAAATTGTGAAACTCAATGAATTATAATTATAATTCAGTCAGTAACTCGGCTATTTCATGTTTGCTAAGCGCTTGAAATCTTTCTGCAGCCATCTCGCTTCCCGCTCGCTGCCAGACAAGGCCGGCGCCGTTTCTGTTGTTGACGTCATTCGTCCAATAATTTTTCTATTATTGGACGATTGACGTCAATCGTCCAATAATAGAAAAATTATTGGACGAATGACGTAAATCATCCAAATTTTGTCAGCGTTAGCTCGTTATGAAAAATTAACCGGGATATATAAGCCAATCAGAAGCGCAGAAATATTTTAAATGAATGAAATAAAGACTAGTAATAACCAAAGGTTAGGAGATGTGGGCTAGATCGATGCAAGGTGTCGTAGGATAAATAAAAGTTTAACAAACTGAGGTGTACGTACTATGATAATTTATCGGAAAGTGAGTCTGAGGATTTAGGTTGCTCAGGCGCTTAGGCAAGAATTCAGGTTCGTGTATACTTTCTGTCGTAAATATTTAAGCAATAAACCATATTTTCGAGGGGGTTACCGGCGCAATAACCTCACGCGGGATGTTGGGAGAACACGAGAACACTGATATTGATCCTCTATTTTAAGGCTATTTTCAGTTTCTTGTCCAAGGTTTTTCCTACTGATCCCGATTTTATTCATATTTTATGTCTATTTTAAACCTATTTTATCCCTGGATAAACTACATTTTAAAATAGGGAGCCTATTTTTAAACTATTTTATCCCTATTTTATATCTATTTTATCCCTCATTTTTCCTATTTTAAGGCTATTTTCAACCTATTTTATTTTAAGCTTGTCTTATTCACACTATTTTCTCATCAACTTGCATACACATTTAAGGCTATTTTTAGGCTATTTTAAAGCTATTTTAAAGCTAATTTACAAAAGTTTTTATTACGCAGATCTGGACTATTTTTTTTGCTATTTTTTGTTTCAAAATAATAGGTTTAAAATAGATAAAAAAAATTGCTTTCAAATAGTCCATAAAAATAGGGAAAAAATATAAAAATGATAGGAATAAAATAGCATATAAAATATATTTAAAATAGACCATATTTTCGTAAGGGATAAAAGTTTCTTGGTGTGTTTCTCAGTATTTTTCATAACAAGAGCTGATCTTGATTGTTCATATTTTACCTTTCCCATCAGTCCTCCTGCATAAAGCATAGAAAGTGAACGAATGACATTATGATCACTTTGCTCATACTGTTTAACCTGAGGTTTTATTACTGCTAGACTAGCTTTTCTCATCTTTTTTGATGAAGAAAAGTATTTGGATAAAGCTGCTGTCTTCGCATATTTAGTCAGTGTTGAAAACATGCCATCCAAGGCTAGGGACCTGTTTTCAACAGATCCACCATTCACCTCTGTTGCTGCAACCAACGTTTCAAGTTGTCTTCTGCTGGCACTTCGCTGAGGCATATTTAGCTTTCCCTCATCACTGAGTACAGTTGGACTTTTTTTCCTTTGAGTGGACGTGTTAGCTGTCACTTCGAAAACTAACCTTTTACTTTTGACAGCAGGAAGATCAGCTTTTACCTGATCAATATTTTCTTTTAGTTGAGTTTTCTGCAAGTCAAAGAACGTAAGTAAAACCTTTAAGCCCTATGAGTGATCAGCATCAAATTTCTCCTTGTAATATCAATGCCTTGTTAACAAGAGTGGTCATGAGAATTACGGACATGATCACACGAGATGAATTTGCTTGATATTTTATCAACTTCTTCCCACTACTTCTGTAAGAAATGAAGGTAGCGAATTTAACTTAGAACATTTACTCTGGAGTAAATTTTAGCGGATCGCTGGAAAAATCGCAAAAATACAAAACCTGCAGAATTTTCTTTCCACACGGCAGTCCACACTTTTCACTAAAAAAAAACTTTTCAAGCTAAACTTACCTTATTCTTGAGTCGCTGAATCTTTTTATTTAAAGTACAAATTTCCTTTGATTTCGAAAGGTACTCCGCTCGAAGCGTAGCCCTCTGCTTGCTGAGCTCCCCAACAGGAAAATTTGACTTGCATTTCTTCGACGTAGAGCTCTTTCTTCTTGATTTGCTACCCAATTAAACCGCTCTGCGAGCCATATAAAAGCGAACATCTCTAAGAAGTAGAGGCATCCGGCAAAAAAACAAAACGAGGAACACACAGCCAAGGTTTCAGGTTTTTTGTTTACGATAACATGACAATAATATGTTCCCTACCGAGAAAATTTACCACAAAAATACCCAATTTTTCTTGTAGGACGGCGAAATCGGTGTGCTTGAAACAGAGAGTAAAAGCACAAGGAAAATTTTTGCAGAAGAAAGATGTAAACACGTGCAAATCGCATATCAACAGAAAGCTTAAAGCCTGTAGAAATTTGTTTTTGAGCAACAACCCTAGTACCCATTCTTCCGCAAATGGCCAAATTCTAACCAGGATTCTTGAGCGAAAATGGCTGCCAAATGACCGCGCTATAGAACTTCTATTAAGGGACTGGAAACTGGGGACACTTTCCGTGGCCGAAATTGGAATAAAAATTTCCAAGCGTGAATTCTTTTTAATTTTACCTTCTGGAAAGGAAAAAGTCGATGTTACTAATATTAAACTTACTTATATTTGCTAGAAATAATAACTGTTTGTAAGACAAATTAAACAGCGTACTCGATCTTGTAGCATGATGGCACATATAAACCGAGAAAATGCCGACAATGTTGATCTTCCACCGGAGCGTACCGGATTGCCTGTTCACACTAGGCTTTTTATGGTACGGTACGTACCGGATTACTTTTCATATCACCTCCAAACGGAGTGATTTTCGCTCCGCGGCGTATCGGATTGCTGCATCGTTGTGTAAACAGCACCCCCGATCCGGTATGAAAATCGCTATGCTCCGGATGAATATGGTATAGTGTAATCGAGGCCTAAGTTTGAGGACTTCTTGAAATGTCCAAAATGCTCATATCATGCATACGCTGTGATACAATAAATAAACAGGAATTGGCAATACCGACAAGCGCCACAGAATTTTAATTAACTACTGTTCAAATTTCGTGAAACGAATGCGATCTGATTTCTGGTGGCCCAGAGGTGCAATACGCACTAGCAGCATTAAGCTGCCTCATTCACTCCGACGTTTGACCTTTGTCTCATTTCCTAGAAAATGAACCTATTCGTTTCTAAGAATTCTTTATTACTTTACAGAACAACAGCCAATAGCCACTATGTTTGGTAGATTGTCAAGGGACGTGGTGCTTTTTGTTCTGGTATCAGCTGCTACTGCTTTACTGGGTGAGTGTTGCTTCGGGATGAACGCAAGCTAGATGCTACCGGGCAGAATTTGAAAACTATCAGCTTAAACCAGTTATTATATTTAGGGCACACAAGAATCTAAAATTTATCCGTTTAAGCCAGTCATTATTTCATATACAAGGATTTAAAATCTATCCAAACCAGTCATAATTCGTGCATACACAATACCTATAAAGTGGATTTCAAAGAATGATATAACACAATAGAATACACCAGAAACAATAATGTTGCCCTCCATAGACAATATAGATTGCAACGCTATATGCCCTGAATCGTAAATTATATATTATATAACAATCAGTTTGTCACTACACTTGGACCTTTTTGTAAACAACGTTTGCAACAAAATATATTTTATTACCATATTACTGGTAGTATATATTATTTTTGCTCTAACCAAGTACAATACGCAAAACTCTGACATCCACCGAGACTTGCGCAAAGTGTCATGGAGCATGCAAGAGTGATTAGACGCGACCAGAATCGAAAGTGAGGAATGTGTCATTCTTAATGGAAATTATTGTATTTAAACTATATCTAGAATAAAGCTCCAAACTGATAAACAATCCTTTTATTCTCTCCTCTCCACAGCGCAGGATAAAGGTGAGGATGGAGAGTGTCACAAAGATGATCCTGACTGTGCCATTCGACACATGGGCATAGCTTGGCAGGACTTGTTATCTCATGTTGATCTTAGTGCAATCAGTAAAGAGCTTCTCGCAGCCATTGCAGGAGGGAAAAGTTCGGCTCAGAAGACGTTGGCAATGAGTCTTAACCAAGTTATTGTGATGGTGGCAACAGGAGCTTATTGGGCCAAACCTTGTCACATGCATCCTTCTGACGCGGAAATGTCGCTCTTGCAGGGTCGTTTTGCGTTCAAGCTTCACACTTCATCCAGTCTTTATGTTTTAGACCCAGGACAAAAGTTTTTTGTTCCGAAGTGGCACTCTCATGCCGAAAAAACTTACGGAGTTAATCCAGCAGTATTTCTGGTAGTATGGTCTCCTATACCAGAAAACAAATCAGAGCTCACTATCTACGTGTCTGAAAAAGAGTGTGATGTTAATCATTTGCCAGCACCAAAACTACCAGATTTGAAGCAGATTCAGAACACCCTCATGCGGCCTATCCTTCCAGAAGAATGGAGTGCTACTGTTCTGCTTCACCCATTTAGTCCACGCCAAAGCAAGTATACTGAAAAAGACATGATGTTCACGCAACTTGTGATAGCCACGCTAACGTACAGTTCTAAACAGAACCTTTTCTACATCAACGTGCAAGGCTGTAGCAAAGGAACATGGCATTACAAAATGGAACATAAACATACTTACATTAAGAATGGTGAGAACTGGCTCAAAGTGGACATGGGCTGGGATTTTCCAAGCAGGGACTGGTTGGGTCAAAAGTCTACTTATGTGGGCAACTCTCCTCTAAACTGGATGAAAGAAGATGAAGACATGGCGTGGTGGAAGCAGCGTCATAATAATTCGTCAAACTGGTTCTGGTTTAACAAAAACGGCGCCCCGTTTCGAATCATGTTCGGTGTACCACCACCAAGTATTTCAAAAGGAAACAGAAACAATCTTGCATTCTTCCAAATGTTCTCTTTTTCGTACATTGTCAACTTTGAACCTGTGTTTATGGAAAGTGAAGATATTTTCAAAAACCAAGCTACCCTCGACATAGCTGGTCTAAAATGTGAAAACCCATATTCATTCGAAGTGTTTAATTGGTCATCGCATTTCAAGATGTCGGCAATGATGGTTCCCGTGGACTTCAAAAGTAATCCCCTTCCTTCTGTCGTCTTCTACCGTTGGGATGACACTTGGAACAGGAAACGCCAAGGTAGACTGCAAACGACACATATGTACTACACGTATAACGCCAACCAGGGACTTGTTTCAACAGCAGCATTATTTGGTGGCTGGTCAGACGAACATATCCAACAAGATGGTTACCTCTTGGACAGTGACACAAACGCGTGGACTCACCGTTGCGAGAGATTGATGGTAGATGACATGCCTATTGGACAAGAGCCTCCTTGGTGGCCTATATTAGGGCAAGCACAGATCATGGCTGTGATACACAAGCCTCTACATTCACCACCCAACTGGGTTTCGCCTCTCACGGGAACCAACCGCACCGTAGCAATTTTGGGTCTACTTTTTCCACCACATCGACCACAATACCCAGACAATACCTACTTATGGACGTGGTACGATTACACTGAATATTCTGAGGGAAAAGGACCCGCCCGGCCCATTACCTTCATGCAGTCTGCTTCGACTCTCCACGAAGGCACAAGTCTAGCGCTGGCAGATTACTTCGACTATTTCCAGTTGGAAGAAGATGTTCATAGACATACGGGGTATTTGGAGGATACCCTAAAGCAAACATGCCCCACAATTTTCTTGGAGCCTGGGTTTCGGGAAGAGACAGGGAGACATCGGCCTCAACCAGCAGCATTCATTCCAGGTCTAAAGCCATGGCATACTAAGGATGACATTAAAGACTATCCTGACGATTTTTAGCTACTTAACGTTTATACATTAGTAATGCTGCAAGCAATTTGAATGTGTCGAAATTTCACCAAACTCGCAATTTGTAATTTCTTTTAATCGTTTTCTAGTGAGACCTTATTCATTATATTAAGGATTGTTAGGTTATGGTGAGTGCCTCTATCAGTGGCGTAGCCAGCTCAATAATTGGGGGCCCATACTCATATATTCGTGTTCTGCATCATTCATTTCTTTTGAAAGCGATTGTTTTTTATGGTCGATCTGGGTACGCCATTGTATGTTATGGTAAATTAGTAAATCAAAATGTGCGAAAAAAATACAATAGCTGGTACATTTTAACTGTATAATGATTCGTTTGAATAATCTGCATACTTGTTGGTGATGTTGTGAGGTACACAGGTTTCCTATACTATAAGAGACTGAAAAGTATACTCATGTTTGAATATTATTAAATCAGAATTCAAAATAACGCTTTTTACAGACTTTTCATTGAAAAAAGACCTTTACTGTAATTTCGCTCGAAATGCTGCGATGGCTTTAAGTTTTTGTGAAAAATGCTGATTTTATTTAAAATCTTTTTATGGCTCTACAGTGGTGAAGCTGGCCATAGCCACTGGTCCCGCTATGCAAAGTTTTGAGTGAATAATATATTCAAGCCTTTAGAACTGTATACCATAACAGGGCCAGTTGTTATGGTTAGGTTCGCCACCGTGGCTCTATAAAGTAGTGATTTGGGACACATTCAGTATAGCTATGTCTTCGCAGAAGTCCGACCCTTGCGTACGTACGCTGTTGTACACGTGATAGTGCGTACGTACGCTCTGGCATGCTACCATGCACACACGTAAAAATCTCACATCTTCTAGCAACTCTGTTAAGAAGATGTGAACAAGTTGTGTTCGCACTGATTGTCCCAAGTTGTTAACAAGTCTGGAACAAATTGTTGATAATTTGTAACAACCTTGTTGATATTATAAGATTTGAGAAAAGGTTGTTGGAACATGCTTGATACAATCCTGATGTAACAAGGGTATTATGGTCTTGTGTTGTCAACCTTGAAACAACATTGTCGTATCGTGATTGTAGCCTACTTGTTGAAACAACCTTGCTACAAGTGAGATAATGCCATCAAGCTTGTTAAAAGTTGTTAACAGCTTGTTCTAAACTTATTACAACTTGGGACAAGTAGTGCAAACACAACTTGTTGACGGCTTGTCAACAGACTTGTAAATGAAATTACCAGTAGGATTTTGACTACAGAAACAAAACGATCCAAGATGCAAGTTCTCCATGTAAACACTTCATAGTTTAACCCCGAAATAAATCTTATGTTCTCTTTGAACGCTGTGAACAATAGGCCGAGCAACACTATTTCCGACAATTTATAGTCTCGGATACATCACGTATGTATACCCCTATACGTATATCTCCATGAGGCGTGACAACACAAAAGGAGTCTTAAGAAATTAAGGTGGTTTTTATATAAACTTAAGAATGATCCAACTGCTCTGCGTTTTGACATCGAATTAATTTCCCCTTTGCACTTTTGCAGCTAATAAAGACTTGTCTGTCCTCTTTTCGGTTTTTTTTACGGCGGTAAAAAGCTGCTGAGATTTTAAGATGGGGATATGGCTTATAAATTCTCAGAACCAGTCAAAGGTATAATGGGAATTCATAATTTGAATCTCAATCATTTTAAATTTGTTTTTGTCTCTGTAGGTCTCCAAGAAGAGGTCGTTTCCATCGTTTTTCTATTTTCATTATCTTTGTGCATGCGGAACATAATATTAAGCCGGGGCTAAACGTTCCAACCTTGTTATACAACATTTGTTGATCTGACAATGTTAGCACCTGAAGAGCCGATGTTTGTCCGACATTTTTTGTTGGACGAACGTTTGAGAGCTAATCAAGCCTTCCTCCAACAAAAAAATGTCGGACAAACATGGGTGCTAAACGTTCTAACATTGTCGGATCAACAAATATTGTACAACAAGGTTGGAACGTTTAGCCCCGGCTTAAGATACATTTTGAATGTATTTTTGTTGTTAACGTTGTTCAAATAAAAGAGGAATTTTTTTGAGACAACTCTTGTACTGTATGGCTTGCTTCTCAAGAAGGAACTTGTTTTAGTTTTGTCACAGACGAACAATGAAGGTTGAGAAGGGGTCAATTTTTTGGTGGCCTTGAAATAAGCCCTGGCTTGACTGATAGTTGAGTTTTTCATTTGACAGAAGTGGCGTTTCAATGGGGAAATTAACCATTACTTTCAACGGTAGATGCGAGATTGATAGTTCCTCGACAGAAACACTCTGTTGTTTAAATAGGAAACGATCGCGCGCGCGTAGCATTTGAAGCGGTAGTTTTTATTGATTTTTAGTTCAAAATTGCTTAATATTGTAGGTTTTGGACTGCAATCCTTTAGTGTTTCTACTAAAACAATTAAACTACTCGCACTCGTTTTCTATGAGCGATAGCCAACTCTACTGCGCTTCGTTGACTATTCGCTCTTTATAGTAGAAACTCAGCCGTGTTCTATTCAAAGTCCGCGAATCTGATTGGTTCCTTTCCTGTTGTCTATTCGTTGATAGGCAACAGTCGCGCGCGCGTAGCTACTTAAGGACCTTAAGCGGTAACTTTTCTTGATTTTTGTCTTCAAAGTGCACAATATTGTAGGTTCTGGACTGCAATCCTTTAGAGTTTCTACTAAAACAATTAGACTACTCGCCCTCGTTTTCTATGAGCGATAGTCAACGAGACGTAGCCGAGTTGACTGTTCGCTCATAGAAAACTCGGGCTCGTAGTCTAATTGTTAAATAGAAATCTCAGGCTCGTAGTCTAATTGTTAAATAGAAATCTCGGGCTTGTAGTCTAATTGTTAATTAAAAAACGGGCTCTTACTCGTTCTTTACTGTTACTTTACAAAATTTGTTTTGTCTAGGTACCATTCCTTCCCGGCGCTTATGGCATTGATGAGTTTCAGGAGGTGGTGGAAAACACTCTCTTCAGAGAGTTCAAGGCGAGGCCACACTGGGGCAAAAACAACAGGCTTAACGGAGAGAAAGTGCGAGCATGCTACCACGAGGACCAGCTAGACAAGTGGAAACAAGTGCTCGAGATGTTTAACAAGGGAGGGCCATTAAACAACCTCTTCACTCACAACATGGGATTTGACGTGCTTCCAATCTATGAACAACCAACGGTGTAAACACTTAAGTCTGGCTAAGCCCACCCCCCGGGTGGGGGGAGATGGGGAAGTAAAGGCATGATATCCAGGGCTATGTACACCGATGATAGTATTTTATTTTAAATAGGAAATAGCATAGGAAGGTTTAGAAATGTAGGTCTGACTTTGCACCTAGTCTAAGTGAACACCTATGGTAGCGCTAGATGCTGAAAAAAAGCAGCTCATTTCTGTCATGAAGCGTAAAATTTTTCTTATTTGCGGGTAATATGTACTCGATTTATTCATAGTGTCATGATTTAGTTTGGTAGAATTCGTCTTCAAAGAGACCTGTGATAGACATGTTCAGAGTGTAGAGTGTCTTATAACAATGTTATATGTCACGAAGAGCGGCGGAGGTGTGCTCACCCAAGAGGGAACAAATGTACCCTCTGTTTCCCTCCCCCCTCCCCCTCCACCTTGTACGACTCGGATCACAACTCTACAGCCGATGTACTCTAAAGGTAGTGTTCAGATTCGGACTACAACTACACGTCCCCTCAGGGGAGGTTATATCTTACTAGAAGTAAGTAAGTAAAGTAAGTAAAATCCTTAAGTTTTGTTTTATGTTTTCTTTTATATATCAGCTTTATGAATAAAGTGAATATTTTTGTGTGTGACCGTGGCTACTACTCAGATTTTTTTAATTTAATGGGTATTATATTTCAAGTTAACCAATTTAAGAAAGTTATAAGATTTTTTGAAGAAACTGACACTAATTTTTTGAACGGACGATTCTTTCAGCTCGCTGTCAGTTCATTCAGTAAGTTTTCGCACGTCAGCTAGATCGCGCGTTTATGACAGGTCATGTGATGTTTTCGCTGTATGTTTCATGAAGCGGAAATAAATGTGTTGAATGGCAATTTCCGGTTATTGGACTGCTTGAAAATTTACTAAAACAGTTATTTTTCTCGGACTTGCCGGATATGAGCTGATAATAACCAACTCGGCCTACGGCCTCGTTGGTTATATATATCAGCTCATATCCGGCGCGTCCTCGAAGAATAACTGTTAAATATTATTGTTCTTTTTTATTATTATTTGACGTACCAGTCGTTATCGTAGCCGTCGTGTTTGCGTAAGCTCCCTAATCACGTGGTAACCTCAAGTGCATGCATTGTTTCATTCGTTGCACATTTCAATTAAAAAACTCAATGTTTGTAAACAGCCTGTATCGCTTTCTCTTTTGACGGTAATGTTGCTGTCATATAATTTGGTTGCTAAGCTGCCTTATATCGAATGTCTTCACAACCGTACAATGTCAAAAATGCTGAATCACGACATCGCTGATGCAAAAGATCGATGTGGCATCAATGTATCTTCATTGATAAGTAGTAAAACGGTCTGATCACAGTTTTTTAACAGTATTGAAGTCTTTTTCCCTGTTTTTACTTCTGGGAAGTAGCGAAGCTATTGAGTTTTAATATTTAGACTTAAGCAAGCTAGAAACTGTGCAATAAACTTGCCATGGCCGTGTAATGGTTATAAGTAAGTGTCAAACTATAGCTGTAAATGCTTGAACCTATACTAACTAAACGAAGGGTCTATTGGTCTCGATTTCAATCATTCGTCTTGAGTGTTTGGGTTTTCCCACCTGGAGATAATAAGTCAGGAACAAGATTTGACATTGTTCAGGGGAACCCAACGGCTGTTTTCTGTGAAATATCTGTTCGGAGAAGCAAAAATTGCCCAGAATTTTCAAAAGTATGAGAAGGCTAAAAACTTCTAGATGACCGTTCCATTCATGTACAGTTTTCGAAGCTTATCTAAGAAATTCCCTAAGGTTTTCTGA